ATTTTTAAAATCCAGGAAATGTGTTTCTTATTATAAGTATTGGTCCTGTGGTTAGGTTTCATCAGTAGTTTCTCTATTTCTTCTTCTGGAACACTCGGGCCAGTGCAGCAGACACCCTGGTCAGCACAGATGACTTTGGTGGCTTCTCCCTGGGGTTTGGTTGAGGAGCAGAGACTCCTGAAATTACACAGTAGACTGGTTTGGCACATGAGCATTCAGGAATTTGTTTCATTTAAACTAGAACGTCAGACCTGTGCACATAGATTTACTCACAGATGCCTCAAAAGTATCAAGCAGGAAATGACTGAATTAAACCCCCACAACTATGTGGCACTAAGAGCCATGGTCTCAATGTTTCTTCACAATTGAAAGTAAATCAAACTAAATTATATCCAACTGTACAGAGGCAGCTAGAGTCACTGACAGATTTAGTGAAGAGTATTTCATTCATCAGACACACTCTCCTAGCACTTACATAACACCTGTTATACAGCACTCAGCGCAAAGTGCATCTGAGGAAGGCCCCCTTTGAGATAAATCCTTTTTGGGGGTTCCCCTATGAAGTATTATTAGTTTGCCTCCAAAATATGTCTTTGTGCAATATCTTTTTTACAAAGGGCATTAGTTCTTTTAAGTTTGGACAGAGTTCGCCAGTCGTCCCCTGAATTTGAACAGGTTTGTTTTGGCTACTGTACTTTTTAATATTATAGCAGAATGATATATACATATAAAGAATAAGAACGCACTACTCTCATAAACGTTCATTACTTTCAAACACATTCAAGGGAACAGTGGGCACATACAGGCCAACCTGTTCAGAATTACTTCACATGCCTCTTTTCATATATGTTTTTAATTGCCAGTTTCAAATCCTATAATGAAGGAAATGCACAGTTCCATTCAGTATTATGGTCAGACATTTCTATTTCAGAATCAGAGTGTGAGATAGAACTCGCCTGGCATAGCACTGCGAGGCTGGCTCCATTGATATCTCTCTGGAGGGCCACTTTCCTTCTCGAAGATCTGTGTGCACACAGAGCAAACAGCAAATGGCATCAGAATGTTTTCTCATCAATCTTTCGAATCCTACTGTCACTTTATCCCCCCATTAGCACTTAAAAGCAATGTTTGTTTCCATAGAAAATGCAACAGAACCACAACATATTACAGTATCATAACTTTTTGTTTGCAATAACATATCCACAATGGTCCTCTTCCACAGTGTGAAACAAAGTGTTAAGCCCTAGTACACAGTAAAACTGTATGCATTGTATACTACACTCCCTTGAAATTCTGTCAATAAGAAAGAACTATCATGAATCAGATCTTTACCTTCTTCCTTACAGTTTGTGGGATGCTGTTCTTATCCCTCAGTTGCATGAGTTCCCTCTTTCCAAAGCTGTTGAAACTTGAGGATGTGCCCTGAATTTCATAGAAGTTACCACGGTTGGCGCTGGCATTGTGGCATGGTTCGCTCTGCATCACAGCTGAAGTCAGCTGAGGTTTTTGGGGAATCAAAGGGAGAAAGCCAGAATTCGCTCCCGGACGTGGAGCCTCGGAGGTCTGTTCCTTCCTCTGTCCCCTGGATCCTGCCTGTGGCATCCTCTCAAAGGCATCAGAGGACATGTGAGCCTCATAGTATGGCACGTTTTGATCATTTCTTAGCTTGAACTGAAGCCTGTTCTTGATTTTGGTGCCAAAGTTCACCATCTTCCTGAAAAGATTTTTCTTTCCTTTTTCTTTGTGGCGAAACTCTGCATACATCAAATTAGCCTGCCATACAAATAAAGAGAGAGTTAACTTCAATGTCAGTTGTGTTTTTTAGTTGCCACCAAAATTAGCCTAGACTCTCTTTGGGAACAGAAATCACATTTTGATGTGTTGATTGGTACTGCAGTTAAAAACAGATCAAAGTTAACAAATCATAGAAATACTGTCACGCCCTCTGCAGCCAGAGGGCGCTCCTTCTCTGTCCTGTCCCTAGTTTCCGGTCTGCTGTCCTTCCTGTCCCTCTCTTTCCCTTGGGCTATATATTTC